CCTGATGGAGTCATTTTTCAGTGTGTTGACTTCCAATCAATGACAGGCAGCTTTTTCTCCTTCTCACCATGGGCCTGTGGCCCTGGGTCAGGAGTGGCCTAGAGGATGGCGCGTGGCAGGATGGAGTTGGATGGGTGCCCCACCAGTGGCTGCCTGTGGGAGCCAGCAAGCCGGGAGAAGGGCAGGGTGGGGACTGAGCTGCTGGTGCCTGAGCCTGTGTGTGTGCTGGTTGGGGACCGGGTGTGGGGACAGGAGCCTGTGGAATGCGATGCTTCCTTCTGACTGTGGGGCTGGAGGTGCAGCGATGGGGTGAGGGTGGTTTAGTCCACTCAGGGTGTCCCTCGGCCCTGCTCTGCTGGTGCTTGTCTGAGGGGCAGCTGTGGTTGAGTCACCCTTCTGCTCCAGGTGAGTCTCCCAACGGCTCTGAGGGCGGAGCATCCATAAATGCCCAAAGGGGTCATAGCGTGGGGGTGCACTATCCCCAGGGTTGTGTCGAGGGTCATGTGCAACTGCCTTTGCTGTGGACAGAGAGGCAGAGGCAGTGACAAACAGAAGCAGAGAGAGTCAGAGAGAGGCAGAGGCAGAGACACAGGCAGAGGCAGAGACAGAGGCAGAGACAGAGTCAGAGAGAGGCAGAGAGAGGCAGAGAGAGGCAGAGGCAGTGACACAGGCAGAGGCAGAGACAGAGGCAGAGGGAGAGGCAGTGACACAGGCAGAGGCAGAGAGAGGCAGAGGCAGTGACACAGGAAGAGTCAGAGAGAGGCAGAGACAGAGGCAGAGACAGAGGCAGTGACACAGGCAGAGTCAGAGACAGAGGCAGAGAGAGACAGGCAGTGACACAGGCAGAGGCAGAGACAGAGGCAGAGGGAGAGGCAGTGACACAGGCAGAGTCAGAGAGAGGCAGAGACAGAGGCAGAGAGAGGCAGAGGCAGTGACACAGGCAGAGGCAGAGACAGAAGCAGAGTCAGAGAGAGGCAGAGACAGAGGCAGTGACACAGGCAGAGGCAGAGGCAGTGACACAGGCAGAGGCAGTGACACAGGCAGAGGCAGAGGCAGTGACACAGGCAGAGGCAGAGGCAGAGGCAGAGACAGTGACACAGGCAGAGGCAGAGGCAGTGACACAGGCAGAGGCAGAGGCAGTGACACAGGCAGAGGCAGAGGCAGTGACACAGGCAGAGGCAGTGACACAGGCAGAGGCAGAGGCAGTGACACAGGCAGAGGCAGAGGCAGTGACACAGGCAGAGGCAGTGACACAGGCAGAGGCAGAGGCAGTGACACAGGCAGAGGCAGTGACACAGGCAGAGGCAGAGGCAGTGACACAGGCAGAGGCAGTGACACAGGCAGAGGCAGAGGCAGAGGCAGTGACACAGGCAGAGGCAGAGGCAGTGACACAGGCAGAGGCAGTGACACAGGCAGAGGCAGTGACACAGGCAGAGGCAGAGGCAGAGGCAGAGGCAGAGGCAGTGACACAGGCAGAGGCAGAGGCAGTGACACAGGCAGAGGCAGAGACAGTGACACAGGCAGAGGCAGAGGCAGTGACACAGGCAGAGGCAGTGACACAGGCAGAGGCAGTGACACAGGCAGAGGCAGAGACAGTGACACAGGCAGAGGCAGTGACACAGGCAGAGGCAGAGGCAGTGACACAGGCAGAGGCAGTGACACAGGCAGAGGCAGAGACAGTGACACAGGCAGAGGCAGTGACACAGGCAGAGGCAGAGGCAGTGACACAGGCAGAGGCAGTGACACAGGCAGAGGCAGAGACAGTGACACAGGCAGAGGCAGAGGCAGTGACACAGGCAGAGGCAGTGACACAGGCAGAGGCAGAGACAGTGACACAGGCAGAGGCAGAGGCAGTGACACAGGCAGAGGCAGTGACACAGGCAGAGGCAGAGACAGAGGCAGAGGCACAGACAGAGGCACAGACAGAGGCAGAGACAGAGGCACAGACAGAGGCACAGACAGAGGCACAGACAGAGGCAGAGACAGAGGCAGAGACAGAGGCACAGACAGAGGCACAGACAGAGGCACAGACAGAGGCAGAGACAGAGGCACAGACAGAGGCACAGACAGAGGCACAGACAGAGGCAGAGACAGAGGCACAGACAGAGGCAGAGACAGAGGCACAGACAGAGGCAGAGACAGAGGCACAGACAGAGGCAGAGACAGAGGCACAGACAGAGGCAGAGACAGAGGCACAGACAGAGGCAGAGACAGAGGCAGAGACAGAGGCACAGACAGAGGCAGAGACAGAGGCACAGACAGAGGCACAGACAGAGGCAGAGACAGAGGCACAGACAGAGGCAGAGACAGAGGCAGAGACAGAGGCACAGACAGAGGCAGAGACAGAGGCACAGACAGAGGCACAGACAGAGGCAGAGACAGAGGCACAGACAGAGGCAGAGACAGAGGCACAGACAGAGGCAGAGACAGAGGCACAGACAGAGGCACAGACAGAGGCAGAGACAGAGGCACAGACAGAGGCACAGACAGAGGCAGAGACAGAGGCACAGACAGAGGCACAGACAGAGGCACAGACAGAGGCACAGACAGAGGCAGGCTACAGCCCGGGGCCTTCAGGCACTGCCTCTTCGGCCACCCGGACTTTGGCTGTTACGGCTGCCTCTCGCTCCTCCTTGGCGCCGTGTTACTGCCTCTGACCCCCACCCCTGGGACGCCGCCCATGCCCTCTGGCCTCTTTCCAGCCCCATGTCAGCCCCTAATCCACACCAGGCCCCGGGCAGCCCCCAGGCCACTGCTGCCCTCATGCCCAGCCCAGCTTGCTTCCTGGGTCCTTTCCTACAGATCCTGGCCCCGCTCCCTTCTTTAGGAAGCCCTCCTGGTTGCTGACCCCCATCCCAGCTCTCTGTGCCGCTTCCTAACTGGCACCGTGCACCTCAGCATCTACTGTGACACCGACCCCTCCCCGAGTGTACGGCACGCAGCATTGGTGGGGAGCCGTGTCGGGGTGGCTGGGAGCCCCCACTGACCACTCCTGCTTGGGGGACACTAGAGGAGGGACACAGGCAAACACGTGCAGCCCCGGCCCTCCTGGGGAAGGGTGAACAGGGCTGGGCTGCCAGCAGCGCATGCAGGGGCCTGGAGCATGCAGCTGCCGGATGCCACCCTTGCCCATCAGGGTGGACTCTGGTGGCACTGGCAGCTCTGGCTGGTGAGTGGAAACTGTGCTGGTGGGTCAGAGGCTGCTTGTCCCCTCCTCAGCACGTGGTGCAGAGAAGGGCACACCTGTTCTGGGCCCGGGCATGTTGATTCTGTCCCGGTTAGTAGCTCGTGACTGACCATTTTATATGCGCCCTTGTGAAACTGCATTTACTTCTCTTTTCACATTTTCTTCTTTTCTGGGAGTGTGCAGAGGAGGGGAGAGGTCCCGTGGAGATAGTCTCAGTCCGACTTGAGCAGAGCTTAACGGTGAGAAGGTGGCAGAGTTGGAGACTCAGGCCCAGGGAGGACCCTGGAGAGAGGGGTTGCTGGGTGCCATGTGCTCTGAGGCCACATCCAGTTGGTTGCAAAACAGAAACCCAGGACAGCAGGGCTCTCCCAAGTCTTAGAGAAGAAGCTCCTTCCTCCTTTCCTCCCGCCCTCTGTTCATCCATCCATCCATCTGTCCGCTTTCCAGAGTCTACTCAGACCTCTGCAGACATTCAGTAGAAAGGGCTGGTGTGCTTGGCCCGCTGTGGCGTTTGGCTGTTAACCGTGGCATTCCGGAAGGACTCCTGCCGTAGACCTTGTGTCCTTTTACGTTTCTGCCTCGTGGATTTATGTCTTGAGTTGGAACCTTATGAATATGAAATTGATTGGGTGCAGACTGCCGGGGCTGCGGGGGAGTTCCTGGCTCTCGTGGTGGGTCAGGGTGGGATGTCCAGAGGCCACACAGCCTCGGACACTAGCCACTCAGCACCCGGCCCCCGGCCCTGGGCTCCCAGGCTCTGTCCTTGGGGCCACTTCACCCTCAGGTGGGAGGACGGAGGAGATGGCCTTCCATGTCATTCACCAAGGGAACCCACTTTGATGCTCTGAGCTCGGCTTAGTCAGGGAGTGCTGGGCACTGATAGCCCCCAGGCCCTTTTGGCAAAGCAGTGACACATCCCACCCTTGTGCAGTCTGTGGCATCAATGCAGGATGTGGGTGGCTCAGCCTGCCGCCCCCAGCTTTGCAGGGCCACAGAGGCCAGCGGAGTGCACGGCAGGAAACTGACTGTGGGCCCAGGATGCTCGAGGCCTGAGTGCTGGACAGGGCCGAGCAGCAGGTGAAGAGCGGGGCACTTCCTGGCTCAGAGCATGCCCCTCCCTGGGGTGCATCTTGGAAACCATGCAGCAGCCCTGCGAGTTGGTGTGGTCCCTGTGTGGCTGAGGCCATGAGGGCACAGGCAAGTGGAGGGCCCACGTGGCCGGGAAGTGCTGGGCTGGGCCAAGTGCAGACAGGCTCCCAGCACAGCCTCCAGCCCTGTAGCCCTGCGGCTGCTTCCCAGGTAGAGGCCCTGGGTGGTGGTGACTTCCGCTTGCTCAGGAGGCAGCATCAGCTGTCGCGCTTCTGCCTTCCTGAAGCACTGACTGGAAAGGCGCCCGTGGAACATCCGTGGGTCTTTGGTCAGCGTCCTTCGCACCCTGCATTCCTCCTGGATGGACTCCCCTGAGCTCCTTTTGCAGGCCTGGGTACATGGTGAAAGGCACAAGCGGCATGACTGCAGCACAGACGTGGTGTGTCCCTGCGATCAGGCTCCACAGTGTTGGGAGCACAGTGGCTGTGCTGTCGGTAAACACCTGTGTGAGGTGGGGCTGCCGTCTGATGTACACGGCATGAAACCGTCCGTCAGGCCTCCGTGTCTCTGCGCTCCTTCTCTGACTGAATGCATCATCTTTCTGTTGAAAACCACAAGCCAAATGCACAATGAAACGTTTCATTAAGATGCTTAAATTGGAAAATGACAGCAATCATGAAAACAAAGCCTGCAGTCCAGGCACGCATGAGCTCACGTGGCACGCAGCTGGGAGTCAGGTGTTTTGAGAGTGGAGTCTTCTGCTCTGCCCCCAGGGTCCGTGTCACCTGCACTGGGGCAGGGAGAGTGTGCCCCAGCCCAGCCCCACCACCAAAAATGATGCCTGAGGAGTCCAGGTGAGTCACCCATGGGGAATTGCTGGCCACGTGGGTGATGCTGCCGGAAGACTGCGCAGAGGAGACAGGCTCGAGACCACCAGGCTCCAGGGAACTGCGCTGTTTTGTGGCCTGGAACTTGTAGGCTGTACAGGCGTGGGGCACGTGCTGCCGTGGACTGTGTAGGGAGCGCAGGCGCCTCTGAGTCCAGACACAAAGTCACGGTTTCTGTGTCAGCCCCCGATAAGGTTTGGCCGTGTCCCTACCTAAATAACTTGAACTGTGTCTCCCAGAATTCCCGTGAGTGTGGGAGGATCCAGGGGGAGGAATCCCGTCTTTCCCCTGCTCTTCTCTGGAAGTGAGTAAGTCTCACGGTCGGGTGGGTTTATCACGGGTTTGTTTCTGTGTTTGCATCTTCCTCCTTTTTTCATGCCCCGCTGTGATTCTGCGGCCTCCCAGCCAGGTGGAACTGTAAGTCCAATTAAACCTGTTTCCTTCCAGTCTCAGGTATGTCTATCAGCAGCGTGAAAATGGACTAACACAGGCCCGTAGACATTTTCCTTCTTAGGAATGCAGTTTTAAAGGGACACTAATTTGGACGGAAGAGTTGGAGTTTGCAGTCTGCCTATAGGTAGTAGGGCAAGGCCTGGGACAGAATCTGACGGTCACTTCCCAGCTGCAGAGCCAGGGGCTGCCGTGGGCCGTGCTGAGCCTCAGGCGGGGTGGGGCGCGTTTTCTGCCCAGGACTGCCCTGCGGACTCGTGGAGCTGATGCAGGCAGACGCCGTGGTGGGTGCTGGGTGAAGGGTGAGCTGTCACCCTTAAGAAGGACCAGGCATGAAAAGGAGTAACACCCAGGCTTGTTCATCTCTTCCTTGGTCCTGAGATTATCAGTGGAAAATGAGAAATCAACTCGATTCTATTTTTATGCATTTTAGTAGAGAAACAAATAGCGTGAATGAGATTTACACATTGTGGTTAAAGAAATTGAGAATAATCAACGGGGCTTAAAGAAACAGAATTCTCTGAAGACACAAAAAACCCTGTGGCTGTCGGGTGGCACGTGCTAGTGTGTTTATTCCTGAACAGACTCTGCAGGCAGGAGAGGGGTGCTCCTGGCCCTGCCACTCGCTTACCACCTTTGCAGACAGAGGCTGGGTCACAAGGGAGGGTGCTGGTTTTCTCTGAAGCTGGAGGATGCCTGGCTCCTCGGCCGGTTGCGTTGCTAATGTTGGGCAGGTGAATCTGTGAGCTTAGTGTCTTAAGCTGTCCAGGAATACCACACGCCTTGCAGTGAGTAAAGCTGGTGAGGACTCAGGGACGTGGGGATGCTGTTTCTCACTCTCAGGTGCTCCAGGGACAGCTTCCTCCTCCATCTCCCTTCAGGACTGCGGAGTGCAAAGGTGTTTCTTCATTGTCTCCTCCGCAGAGTTCAGGGTATTGATTCATTGTCTCTTCTTCGTATGGCGGATGCATCCTCGTATGTCCTGTTCCCTGAGGTCCTCATGCACTGTGGAAGGATCAGACATTGGGCTGGGACCCGCCGGGGATGCTGGGGTGCCAGGGATGCAGGGGTGTGCTGGGGGGGATGCCAGGGGTGCTGGGGATACCAGGGATGTGAAGGGTGCCAGGGGGTACCTGCTGCCTTCCCTTTTCCTAATGGGCCTGGACTCCGACTCCGGCGATCTTGATGCATGAGATGGCGTTGGCGCTAGTGCCAGTGGGCCAGGGAAAGATGACATCAACCTAAACTCTTGAGAATTCGCAGCCGTGTTGGAGTGTTGTTAGTTTCCTTTGCTGGGAGATGCTGCAGCCGTGGAATGTACTCTTCTTCCATCGTCTCTGAGGCCGCCAAGTCATCGAGGCCAGGCGGACGAGCACGGCATCCCCTGCTTTCCACAGCCACCGGTGTCCACCCGGCCTGGGGAGAAGCATACCTCCCTCTGCTCGGGGCGCAGTCATGGCATCTAGTCCTGCTGCTGTGTGCATGCCCACGGCGGTCTCGTTCAGACCCCACGTGCTCACTCCTTTAGAGGGCCCATGCCTCTTCAGCACAGTTGGTGTTGGCTGGGGCTGAACAGGCATCTTAGGTTTTGTCAGGGTCTCAGAGCCAGTGTGGTCCTCTCTGCCCGTGGGATCTGATTGTTGGAAGCATTGACGCCATCTGATGTGGGGGCTCTCCAGCATGGGGGCCATCTGGCATGGATGCCGTCCGGCGTGGAAGCTGTCTGGTACGGAAGCTATCCAGCATGGGGACTGTCCAGCATGGGGGCCATCTGGCATGGGAGCTGTCTGGTGTGAGGACTGTCTCACGTAGGGGCCATCCAGCCTGGGGGCCCTCCGGCATGGGAGCTGTCTGGTATGGAAGCTATCCAACATGGGGACTGTCCAGCATGGGGGCCATCTGGCATGGGAGCTGTCTGGTGTGAGGACTGTCTCACGTAGGGGCCATCCAGCATGGGGACTATTTGGCATGGAAGCTGTCCGGCTGTCCGATGTGGGGACTCCCTGGCATGGGGATTGTTTGGCGTGGAAGCTGTCCGGCTGTCTGACATGGGGGCTCCCTGGCGTGGGGACTGTTTGGTGTGGAAGCTGTCAGGCTGTCGGACATGGGGGCTCTCTGGTGTGGGGATTGTTTGGTGTGGAAGCTGTCCGGCTGTCGGACATGGGGGCTCCCTGGCGTGGGGACTGTTTGGCGTAGAAGCTGTCCGGCTGCCTGACGTGGGGGCTCTCTGGCATGGGGACTGTCCTGCGTGGAAGCCATCCGGCTGTCAGACGTGGGGGCTCTCTGGCGTGGGGACTGTCCTGCGTGGAAGCTGTCCGGCTGCCTGACGTGGGGGCTCTCTGGCGTGGGGACTGTCCTGCGTGGAAGCTGTCCGGCTGCCTGACGTGGGGGCTCTCTGGCGTGGGGACTGTCCTGCGTGGAAGCTGTCCGGCTGCCTGACGTGGGGGCTCTCTGGCGTGGGGACTGTCCTGCGTGGAAGCTGTCCGGCTGCCTGACGTGGGGGCTCTCTGGCGTGGGGACTGTCCTGCGTGGAAGCTGTCCGGCTGCCTGACGTGGGGGCTTTCTGGCGTGGGGACTGTCCTGCGTGTTTGTTGCAGTTGTCTCTGAGGATTCCTTCCATGAGCGTCATTCCCCACTTTCACTGCTGTGGTCCAATACACCTGTCTCACCTACCTTGGAAGTGACAGCTTTCTCTCCAGGGATAATCTCCTTGGTCGTCCTACAGAATAGCTTCCGGGATGGAGAGGCTGGGCCCGGCGGGCACCCCTCACCTCTCGGGTGTACTGGCCGGCACTCGGACCCTGTCTCGCTGCACAGAGAGCTCACCTGCGAGGGCACCTGGTGTGGATCCTGTGACTCCCACATATTCCAGGTGGAGCAAGGACCTCACTTGCCCCGTCTCCTGGCTGGAGGGTGGAAGGGCAGCAATGGGCCGTCAGGGCCCAGGCTGGACTCTCAGTGCTCGCATCAGGCCCCGGCCCTCTGCTGTGGCCTTGAGGGAGTGTCTCAAGTCTCCCAACTAGTGGTTTCTCCATTTGAAAATAATAAGAGTACCCACGTCTTGGAGTTGTCCTGGTGAGGTGGACCTAAACGGAAACAGCTAGGGTAGAATAATCTATGCAAAGGGTTATGTGGGCCGCGCTTGGGGGCTGCAGCCCGAGAGCCTGGATTCGGGCTGCCCTGAACACACACTGATGAGCAGCGCCTCCAGGCAGGTTTTTGAAAGCGCAAAGCAGCTGAGGGAGGCTGATACAAAGCTGTTTGTTGGGAATTCTCATTGGTTTATGGAAATGGCATTGATTAGTGATTGCTGTGCATTGTTAAGCTACAGGATGTGTTGCGGTGTCCGGTATGGCATCACCAGGTTCATTCCCAGCCACTGGAGGCCGTGATGAGTGGACACGTGGCTCCCCGGGACCAGGGAGCAGGGTGTGGCTGTGGCTCACCTGCACGTCTCCTGGGGCACAACAGGCCGTGCTGAATGAGCACACACTCCCCGGGAACAGGGAGCAGGGAGCAGGGACCAGGGACGGGGGTGTGGCTGCAGCTCACCTGCATGTCTCTCGGGGCACAACAGGCTGTGCTGAATGAGCACACACTCCCCGGGAACAGGGAGCAGGGACAGCGAGCAGGGTGTGGCTGTGGCTCACCTGCACGTCTCCTGGGGCCACAGCAGGCTGTGTTGAGTGGACACGTGGCTCCCCGGCACTAAGGAGCAGGATGTGGCTGTGGCTCACCTGCACGTCTCCTGGGGCCACAGCAGGCTGTGTTGAGTGGACACGTGGCTCCCCAGCACTAAGGAGCAGGATGTGGCTTCAGCTCACCTGCACGTCTCCTGGGGCCACAGCAGGCTGTGTTGAGTGGACAAGTGGCTCCCCGGCACTAAGGAGCAGGATGTGGCTGTGGCTCACCTGCACGTCTCCTGGGGCCACAGCAGGCCGTGCTGAATGAGCACTCACTCCCTGGGAGCAGGGAGCAGGGGGCAGGGTGTGGCTCACCTGCACATCTCCCAGGGCCTCGTGATATGAAGGGGCTCCCGTTCTTCAGACAGAAGTTCTGCTCTTTGCTCAGCAGTTGTGTTAACAGAGGAGACAGTCGCAGCCGCTGCTCGTGCGGAGCCCAGTGCACATTGAGCTATTTGCACACGTTGTTGGTGAAATAACATGAGACCCAGGAACTGAGGCTGTGAGGCCCAGAACCATGAGGCTAGGTGCTGAGGATGGGGTCGGGGGTGGTGGCACATGGCAGGCATCTGAGCAAGTCCTGGGGTTGGAGGGAGAGCAGGTTCAGGGCTTGGAACGCAGGAGGTGCCACATTGGAGGTTGGGGGCAGGGCCCCACTGCCAGCCTCATTGGAAAGCAGTGTCCGTTTGCTTCTGAGAGTGCCAGAGCCAGCAGCCAGCTCTGTGCATTAGGAGAAGAGAATTTGCTGGCCTGGTGGCATCCTGGGTGTGTTGCCGGCAGAGCCCAGAGCTCTTGGCACCCTGCCATCCCCCCGTTCCTCTCATTGAAGAGCACATGAGGCCAGTGACACCCTGGGCAGGGGTCCGCCTGGCCTCGGAGGAGCTAGCCTGTGGGTGGCACTCATGGGCCATGGCCCCTGGGGCCCCATGTGCTTTTGCTGATGGGCGAGGGCCTGGTGCCTGCTCCTCTAGCCAAGGCAGCCGGAGAGTTCCTCGAGCACAGTGTATTTCCCTGGGAGTGTTCTGGCAGGAGCCAGGCCCATGTTCTGTGGTCTAAACAGGAGTCACCAGGAACTGGCCTTCCCGGGACTCAGCTGGCATCCAGCTCACACTCAAGCTCATGTCCTCAAAGCAGGGAGGGGAACACGAAGCGGAGACAGGAATCACAGCGGCAGGCGGGCGTGACAGCCTCGCCCAGAGGTTAGCCGCGTTTTTACAGAGAGCAGTCGGGAGGGCAGGCATCGCTGCGCCTGATCCCAGCCGAGTCTGGAAGAGACACGTTTGGTTGATGTGTTGATTTCTCTGCTTAGAACATGGCAGAAAATTCAGCAAGGAATTGAAGCCAGTGTCAGGTTGGGAGGAGCTGGCCAGTGAATGAAGCTGCAAAATAAACTCTGGCCGTAGTTCAAGGTCAAGTCGCTCCCACGCTGCGAAGTCTCTTGTTTTGCTCGTGATGCTGCTTCACGGGAGATCTACAAGTATTCACGACTAACAGGTGGTCAGTCTTGTAATCACGGCCAGTGGTGGCGTTTAGCTCTTCCTGTTCACCTGTTCACGGGCTTCTCTGTCGCAGCCCTGCGCTTGTTGAGTGCATGTTTGTCTACCTGAACTGTGACAAGCAGTGTCTCTCCTTCTTGCAGGAGCTCCTTCCCTTAACAGAGCGGAGAACGGCGTCCGGAGCTGCAGCATGGACCAGCGAGAGCCCCTGCCTCCCGCTCCTGCAGGTAACCACCCTGTGGCTCAGGGCTCGCTGCTGCTCTCGTCAAGGACGGGATGCTTTTGGAACTGCTGAATTGCCGGTCACTGGGGTATGGGGTGGAGTGAGAGCTCGGGAGAAGGAGAAGGCTCCCATGTGAGCCTGGGTGCCCCTACCCCTGCCTTCCCACGGGGGCATCGGGGTGAACCTCTTGGGTTCCTCACAGGTGCTGCTGTTTTGCTCGAGGGGACTTGTCATCAGCATCTGACATTCCCTTAAGATTCACCTTAGCTGGATGCAGTGGGAAGTGGAGTGGGAGGGTTGTCACTGAGAGGCCCCGTTCAGGACTACGGCACGGCTCGCCCATGGCTGGTGCCCCCAGGTTCCCAGGAAAACGGCTCAGGGAGTCTCCTTTTCTGCTTCCCTCCTCTGCGGGGCAGCTCAGGGCAAGCACGACCTCTTTATCCATGCGCTCCATAAGGGAGGGGCTGTGATTAAAGATTTCTCTTCATTGTCACCTCACGTTTAAATTGTGGCTGTAAAGACCATGCCAAGGCAGCTGTCTCACACTCCAGCCAGCAGGGAAGGTGGACCCTAACTGACATTTCCACAGTAGGTCTTCTGCAGGGCCCGAAGACCTGGCCTGTGTCCTCGCAGGCCTGCTGCACCACACGGTGCCCATGGGCCTGGTATCCTTTGCAGATACGGGAGGGTGATGAAGCCGTGGAGGTCAGGGAATGAACTGTGTGGGCGCCAGGCCCCTGGACGCCACAGGTGTGGGTCTGGGGAGATACCGGTATTTGATCGTCTGTGCTCTGCCCACTACCTGGACATTCTGGGCCCTCAGAGGGTGTAGTGGGATGAGAAAGAGGCAGCCTGGGGTCAGGGTTCATAAGCAAATCAGTCACCAGCGCCTTGTAGATGACAGAGACGGGAGAATCCAGGGGTGAGCAGTGGGCACCCCAGAAACAGCCAGTGATGCTGCATAGGCCAGAAGGGACCCCCGCTCTGTTGCTGGAGGAATGTGGTGGGGAGCCAGGCCTGGAAGTCCATCTCTTGGAGTTCTCCGGAGCCATGACACCAGTGGATGTAACACCTGGTACCAAGAACCTGGGGCCATGGCGCACTGCTCCTCTGCTGGGGTTGATGTCGGCCGGTCTCCTCGCCTCTGTAGCCATGGTACGTGTTCTCGCCATAGGTTCACTCACATGGGGATTGCTGGCATTCAGGCTCTGCTGGACCAGCTTTTTTTAATTGAAAATGAGGCTAGGCATGGTAGCTCACACCCGTAATGCCAGCACTTTGGGAGACTGAGCTGGGTGAATCGCTTGAGCCAGGAGTTTGAGACCAGCCTAGGCACATAGTTAGACTCCATCTCTGCAAAAATAATAATACAATAGTAATAACTGGGCACGATGGTACGTGCCTGTAGTCCAGCTACTCGTGAGTCTGAGATGGGAGGATCACTTGAGTAGGGGAAGTTGAGGCTGCAGTGAGCCGAGATTGTGCCACTGAACTCCAGCCTGGGTGATAGGAGTGGGACCCTGTCTTAAAAAAAAAAAAAAAAAAAGGTAGAAAATGAGGCAGAGAGCAAGATCTTTTACTGCTTTTCATTCCTGTCAAATGAGAGGATGCCCCAGCAAGGCAGGGGCAGTGGGCAGCTTCCTGCGGCCTCGCTCTCTGCGGGACCCTTTGGGCGGCCAACAAGGCAGGGGCAGTGGGCAGCTTCCTGCGGCCTCGCTCTCTGCGGGACCCTTCGGGCGGCCAACAAGGCAGGGGCAGTGGGCAGCTTCCTGCGGCCTCGCTCTCTGCGGGACCCTTCGGGCGGCCAACAAGGCAGGGGCAGTGGGCAGCTTCTGCGGCCTCGCTCTCTGCGGGACCCTTCGGGTGGCCAGCAAGGCAGGGGCAGTGGGCAGCTTCCTGCGGCCTCGCTCTCTGCGGGACCCTTCGGGCGGCCAGCCCTCCAGAGGTCCCCTTCTGCCTCCTTGCTTTCTTTTTGGCATTTCATGGAAATGAGAGGTTGTCTCGGATACTTTTCTATTTTAAGGGGCGGGGCACCAGACCCGTGTGCTTTCCTTTTGCCTCCCCTCCTTCCCACTCGCATGTAAGATGGGAAAACGTTAATATGGTGCCTTGACATGCTCGGGAGGCGGGTACAGTTGCTGGGGAAAGTTAAGAATAAAAGAAAGGCTCTCTCCGCAGGTACGTGTCTGGGAATGTGGAGGACGTAGGGCCCATTCACCAGCCATGGCAGATGGATGCTGCCTTTCACCCTCATTTGCCCACTGTTTCAAAGAAGGTGGAAACACCGTTTTCTCGTTAAGTGTATCCCTGGCATTTGCTGGTGGCGTCGTCAGTGCTGGCTGGTGCCTGACATCCTGAGGAGCTCTGCCCAGTGGTGCTACCTCCTGGATTGGATGAAATGCCCATCCACCCATAGTCTTCACCACCAGAACTGGCTTGTGAAAGGTCCCTGGCCCCAGAGGACTCCACCTTGGTAGTTGTGCTAATTAGAGGCACAGCATCTGATGGAGGCAGTACTGGGGGAGCCCAGGGTCCCCAGCAGCTGGTGCTGCTTCATGCAGCAGGTCACACCTCTCCTGGGGCTGGGGGTATCTCCACGGCCCCTCCCTCTGCCCACATGTCGACCCTGGGGGAGAGTGTGCAGGCCCACACCCTCTGGATGCAGCTGTACTGACCAGGCCATCCTTGGGCCAAGGCTGCAGGAACGTGGAGACTGTTAACTGTTCACCCTGGTGGGGGGTGTCCTCGGGAGACCCTGGTGGGACCCGGGAGCCTGGCAGGTGCAGAGGAGCCACCCAGTCCTCTGTGGGGTTGGAAGTGAGGCTCTCTGCTTTTCCTGACAGGCCCACATGACCTTGGATTTGATACAGAAAGCCACGATTTAATGACATGCTGTGGCTCAAATGCTGTGAGAACAGCACTGATGTGTTTCTAGCCATTAACTTTGATGCCAAGTAGACATAGGGGTAATGGCCTGGTGTCTTTTCTGAGAATTCAGTGATACTTTAATTATAATTTCCCCCATTATTAAGTAAACTGTCTGCTTAAAAATGCCCTTGAAGATCCAGATATGGCAGGAAATTACCCGCGGCCTCACCTCCTCCCCGCACTCTGATGCAGCTGCTGCTGGTACCTTAGGTCATTGTGTTTCTGTTTTTTCCCCATATTTCTTTTCTACATAATTCTAGTCACTGAATGTAGATTTTTAACTTTTTCTTTTTTAGTTGGAGTCTTGCTCTGTTGCCCACACCGGAGTAAAGTGCTGTCATCTCAGTTTGGGAGGCAGTTGTGCACTAGGAAAGATTTCGGGCTCTGCTGCCCAGCGGCTAGGGTTCAAATGCTGACTCTGAGGTGTGTGAGCTGATGACAGAAACAGCCTCCAGTCTCCGTCATTCCTAGAAAACACAGAACCCCTCACATAGGTTTGGTGAGGAGTTGACAAGTTAGCATCTGTAAAGTACTTAGACCTGGCAGGTGAGCACTTAGCAAACGCATTCGGAAGATGATCTCGGATTTTCCAGAATGCAGAACAAGTCAACACCGCCAGCCAGAGCCTTTCTCTAATTAGTAGCAAAATCCCAATGCAAACTATGTCAGGGAGAAAGAAATCAGTACAATTGCCAGGTTAATGTTGCTTCCCAAAAAATCACTTACCACATGCCTGATAATGTCCATAATGAGCTCAGACAGAAGCCAGTACCCACACTGGCATCGCTTCTGGGGGCAGCAGTGTTTCTGGGGGACGCCTCCTTCAGCACGAACACGTATAAACCCCAGTGACACCCAGAGCCGAGAAGCGATTATGAATAGCGTCTTGTGGGTGAAGCTATTTGCAGCCTGGTGCTTTTAAAAGGACTTTTCTTTAAACAATAGAGTTAAGAAACAAACAGCCTTCATTTGAAATTAGAGAAAATCATATCCTGAGTTAAACTTCCATATTAGAATAAATACGGTCTTAGAAGCCCCGGCAGATGTCATGCTTTTGTGTCTGAACTTGGAAATGAGGGTGACTTTGACCTTTTCCTCAGTGTGGTGATCCATTGCATGTCTAAAAGTTCTTCATGGATCTGGAACAGTCAGAGGGCTGTCTGCTCACGAGGGAAGGTGGCCTGGGAATGGGCAGCCTGCTTTTCCAGGGTGGGCGGCCAGTTCTTTCCCACTCAGGTGCTGGGGCCAAGGCCACCAGGTCTTGGTAGCTTCTAGAATAAATGTTTTCCGAAGGAGAACAGAAGGTGTAAGTGCTCTGTGCGTCTTCTTTTGCACCATGCATATGGCATCTGTCGTCCTCAGCGTCTCTGTAGAGAGATACCCTGAGTCCTCTGCTCTTAGTCCTGACGTTAAGTGGCTTCGTTCACACCTCAGTGGCCTTTCCTACTCATTGCAACGTGGCCCAGGGGAGGGATTCTTTCCATTCTGTGATTCCTTTCTATAGACGAGGGATGGGGTCTCGTGGCCAGTCAGTGAAGTTTGAACCCAGCACTCTGACTCCATAGCTGTGTTCTCAGCCACGACTCCGCTTCACATTTCCCGTGTAGGTGTGTGCAGGGGCTTCCGAAAACACAGCAGGATGCGCGATGTGCTGCACGGTGACGGGTGGATCACGGTTGCTGTTTGTTGTTTATTCAGTGAACATTGAGTCAAGCTAAATTTCGGGTATCACAAATGACCTTACAATTTATCATTTAAATCGAAATTATAATGCATATTTATTGTAGAATAAAAAGTAAAACATAGACAAGTCACAGCAAAGAAAATACTACTCCCACTTCTAGGAGAGTAGAACTATTAAAACGTTAGGGAATATTCGTCCAGTATTTTAGAAGTAGCCTTCTTTTTTTTTCCCCACTTAAAACAAACTCTTAGACGCCATTAACGTAAATGATAGTGTCTGCATCGGTAAGTTTCAGATATTAGCAATATATATTTTCCCTGACAAACAATGGTTTTTGTACGTATAGGTGATTTAAAATGAGAAATTAAGGTTTTTTTGTTGATAGCTTCATT